GTCAGGGAGCTCGAATCCCTTCCCCTCCTGGTCTCAGGGGCTGCCGCTCCCTGCTGCCCCGGCCCTGTGAGGCGCTGCTCACCGAGTGGCTTGGCCTCACCTATTTGCGGACCGCAGCCAGGTGACAGGGATGGCCACCGCGGTAGTGGAGGTGGGGGTCCCTTGCTCTTGGGCAAGCTGCTTTCTGCTCACACCCAGCTTGCATTCTCCTTTAAACAATTTTCTTATTAGTCTGTTTGCAGTTCATAATGATTGCATTTGTCCCAGGGGTTTATTTCCATGTACAGAAAACGTCCTAATTCTTTTTTATCCCCTTCCCCTCCCAGCCCTCCCTGCTGCCCCCAACTCTTGTCCCCTTTTCCATTTGCAAAAGTTTGCATTTTTTTCTTCAATCTTCTCTCTCCTTTCTCTTATCTTAGAACTGGCAGTTCTGGCCCTGAATGTGCAGGGCAGTTTCCTCACATCAGCCTCTTCGCTGGCCCTAGCTTGATGCCTCACAGTTTGATTCTACCCCGATTCTCCCCCTTGGATGAACTCGGGCCCCACAGGTGAATGACTCATCCCCCCGAGATGGCAGCCTCTTTAGAGACCCCCGGACCCCAGGCCTGGGACCCCACACACCTGCCTGGCCACCTACCCTTGGGGAGGTCCAGATCCCTTCCTTGGAACCAGCACTTTTCTGGAAGGGCACACAGAACTCAGGAAAACCCTTTTTCACTGTTCTTTTGTTTGTCTGTTTAAGGTACTGGGGATCCAAGCTAGGGCTTTTGCACTGAGCTCCATTCCCCATTTTTATCTTTTCTTTTGAGGCAGAGTTTTCTGCTGGTCTGCTGAGCTGTCCAGGCTGGGCTCAACCTTGCCACGCTCCTGCCTTGGCCTCCCAGAGTGTTGGTGTCACACCTGTGCACCGCCACACGCAGCTGTTAATTTCATTTTTTAATAAAGACTGTGTCTAGGGAGTGGCCAAATGGAGGCGATGCTCAGGGTGTTGGGGAAGCTGGAAGCAGCTGCCACTCTCTCCTGGTGAGCTGTGTTCCAGCACCCGTACATGTGCCCCAGCTGGGAGTTCTTTGAACTCCGAGGCTTGGGGATTTTCAGAGGTTCCGTGTACACAGAAAGAAGGGTTAAATCCCCGGCCAGTGGCCACTCGACCCACGGCCCCTCTCCCTTCCTCTGGGGTTGGGTGTGTGGGTCCTCTAGACACACGCGCTGCCTCTGTTTGCAGTGCTTAGGTTTGAATTCAAGGCCTTGTGCATTCCGGGCAAGCATTTCACTCGAAGGGAAGGGCTCACTGAGTTGCTCAGGCTGTGTTTGAACTTGGGATCCTCTTGCTTCAGCCTTGAAAAGCAGGGAGTACAAGTGTGCACCATCATAGTCAGCCTGGACTGTCGTCTGAGGGTTGAGGCAGATAAAAATCAGGCTTCAGGAATAAAAATGGTGAAGCATGGCAGCACATGCCTGTAATCCCAGCACTCTGGAGGCTGAGGCAGGAAGACTGCAAATTTAACCCCAGCCTGGGCAACTAACTCACCAAGAGCCTCCTTCAAAACAAAAAATATAAAAAGGGCTGGGGGAGTAGCTCAGTGCACAAGTCTTGGACTCAATCCCCAGCTCTGCATGTACACACACACACACACCCACACACACCCCCAAGGCATCCACTAAGAGATACCTTACAGGCGCTTTTCAGATTTGCTTACAAGGAGTTTATTACAAACAGCCAAACACGCTCCTCTCACGCCTACCACTCAGGCGGTTCCAAGAGTCTTAGGAGTCCCGTGGCAGGAATTGGAGAGAAGACCGAAGATCTGTTTCTCAGTATCGTAACACACATACCTAAGTGAGGTGCAGAAATCCCCCAGGCCCCCTCTTTCCCCCATCTGCCACATGGGGATAATCAATACCACTTAGTAAAAGAGTTAATAAATAAGAGCTCTCCAGTAGGCGCCTTGTCAGTGTGTTGCAGATGGTCAAGCCGAGGAGGATGTTAAATGCACAGGTTTCTTCCAGCAGCTATTTCGATGGGACTCAATTCCCAGTCCACACCCCAGTTTACCTGGTGTAAACGCTGGCTCTTCCCTTTAGGAAGGTGCCTTGTGACCCGTGTGATGGTTCCGCCTGAACAGTTTCATCTAGGGACACTCCAGACACCAGCCCAGCTACTTACTGTTCCTCTCACCATCCCAAGGTTTCCCACATTAGCCACGCAGGAGCAGGTGTGGGGCAGGGGCGCATGTGGTGGGGGCACAGGGTGGGCCGTCTCTGCTTACTCGGGCCTCAGTTGGTGGCCAGGGACCAGCGGTCACAGTGAAATGCCACTTAACCAAGACGACATGATTTTGTTCTCGAGACTAAAGGAACGTCCGTTAACATAGGCCCAAGGAAAGAAGTTAAAGCAGCTATGTTTTTGAGAGAAGGGAGAGAGAAAAGTGGTCACTGGGTGGAGGTGAGGAGGAATTCCTGGGTTTTCTGGGCCCTGGGATCTTGGGACATTCCTGGTCTTTGTAGGCCCTGCTTCAGTCTCTGCTACCTCTTCTTCCTGTGGTGGCCCCAGGTCCAGGGTGGCACTGGGTCCTTGCTCCAGGAAGCAGAGAGAGACCCACAGAGTGGGTGAGAAATTCCTTCTCAAACAAGAAGACTGGAACGTATCTCAATGAATAATTAGGGAAATCTATCCATTTGTCCTACTAGAATATTTGAAATTCAAAATAGCTGTTTACACCATTTGTGGTATCTATTACAGATGTTCCTGGACCTGGGAAGAGCTTACATCCCATAAACCCATCCTGAGTGGAAAATATCAGAAGTCGATATCAAATTCACCCACCTAAGAGCAAAACAGCATGCTGTGGAGCAGCTGTGTCCAACCTGTGGGTCACACACTCCTGCTAATTAAAAAAAAAGTTAGAAAAGAAAGTTTTCTCACTTAGATACATTAACTACATCCCACTTTTCCTATGGGTCCTAAGACAATTCCTCGTCCCTCAGGGGAACCCAGGAGGGCCAGGCGTGTCCTGCCGCCGGGTGGTCATTCAGACCCTGCTGCCATGTAGACAGCCTGTCGGCTCCCTCTGACAGAGCTGTGGCTCAGCGATGGCACCCAGCATCGCCAGGGGAACCGTGCCAAACCTGGCTTTCCTGGGAGCAAAGCGAAATTCACAATTTGAAGTATGATTTATCCTGAGGATCTATCACTTTTGCCCCACTGGCAGGTCAGAACATTACAAGTCAAAGCATTGTAAAGCAAGAGCGGTCTGCATGTGGCCGAGGCACACAGCCCACTTGGGAAGGTGTGTCACCCAGGCAGACAGTGAGCTCCAGTGCATCTGGACGGGGCTCCTCCCTCCCGCCCACCCCTACCTGGGCGGGCAGTGGCTGTCCCTGCCTTTCAGCCTGCAAGGCTGGGCGTTAGCACTCTCGTGAGGAGCAGCAGGGGCATGGGGGACCGAGGTCTTGGGGACACAGTAGAGGGGACACTCATGGAGGACGAGGGCTAGGGGCAGGTTGGCTGCATATTTGTTAAGTAATAAGGATTATTCTTTCTGCTTCATATGCTTTATCCTCCAAAACAAACTTACGATAGTGCCAGTAATTTTTATAGCTTCTTGTAGCAGCCACTGAAACAAAAATTACTTTGAATGTATTTGTCCTGTTTGGAAAATACCTGCCAAGTAAGAGAACTTTTTTTTCCTGCAGTGAATTAATTCAATTTTCTGAGATACCTAAATATTTCCAATGTAGAGATGTTTTCCAGACATCCCTGGTGATTTCCATTGCATTGCACACTGAAGATGAGAAGAAGCTATTTGTAAAACAATTCTACTTAACCTAAAATGTTCTCAGCAAATACCTTTGTAGACTGAAGTCCACTTATCTTATTGGCTTGGTGTTGCTGTAACAAAATATCTGGGGCTTGGTGTTATTGAAAGAAAAGAGGTTTACTCAGCTTCTAGCTCTGGAGGTCCAGGAGTATGGTGTTGGCATCAGCTTCTGATCCTTACCTCATGGTGGATTGCATCACACAGCCAGAAAGTGTGTAAGAAAGAGAGCAGCTGAGCATGGACGCAGGAGACGCCCTCTGTCTTTCACAAGAACCTGCTCTCTGGGGAACCGATCTACTCTGGTGAGACCTGCATTAATCCCTTCACACGTGAGTCATGACCCATTACCTCCTTCTAGGACTTGTGTCTCAACGATCCCACTACCTGTCCATGCTGTTCCACTGGGGAGCCAGCTCCCAGCTCATGAACTTGGGGACAAACCGCGTTTAACTCTGGTGCCACTTCTCTGCGTTACAGACTGCGCAACAAGGATGCCATTCTGCTGCGATAAAACTCTATACTTGTCGCTGTTACGACGAGGCTCACTTTGGTGACACCAATTCCTCTGTAATTCTCATTTTTTTTTAACAGCTTCCCCTGGTAATTAATCTCTCTGGAATATGTTGGTCGTTGGCTTCTCTCTCCAGGTGGCTGTGTGCCCATCTGGACTACGGAAGTAAAGGGCGCTTAGCTGAAATGACACTGAATTATTTGTCCCATCTATGAAGTTGGAACCCTCCCATCCTCCGCCACACGGCTCTCTTGAGAGTGATGGGCAGCTGGCACAGATGTGGCCACAGATGCGGGCTGTGTGTTGAGCTCCCTGGATGCTCCGCTTGCCTGCTGCTCACCCTGGGAATCTCAGGACATTCTGATCTCCCTCAGCGCCCATCCCGGGGCTACAGGCCTGAAGCACTTACAGCACCGGGACCCCATAGTTCCTCAGCCCAGGTCACTGTCCGGATTCCTCCCTGATGTCGCCCAGAGAGGAGAAATGAAACGCCTTTCCCTGGCAGTGCCACCCCTGGCAGCTCCTCTCCTCTGCATCTCATCCCTGGAGCCTGCCACAGTCTTGCTCCAAGGACGCCCTCAGAGACCCGGCCCGAAGCTCCCAACAGCCCGTCCATAGCACCTTCCAAAGCTCCCAGAGTCACAGGAATACAAAGGTTTGAAAACCTAGATATAAAAACACTTACTTGATATGGCGTTTCCCTAAGAACTTTGAGTTCTAGAAGAATTAGAAATCTTCCTAGACAAAAACAGCTGAAATCACCTGAAGAAAAAGCAGTACAGTGTGAGGGTCAAAGTCACAGCATTGTAGATGGATAGGACGCATGAGGTCATAGCCTGGCACTGCCCAGCCAAGCAATTTGAGCTGTCGCATGACTGTGGCAAACTGCTTTTCCATCTTCAGAAACCCAGGTGACGACAGCAGACGTACCGTGTGTCGGCAGAGGGAGGGATGCCACAAGATGATGCATCCGACCCTGTTCCCAGCACTCAGGAAGCTCTCAGTAAAAGGCGAGCACGATTGTTGTTTGGCTCCAAGGAAACGAAAGTGTGCTACTCATTCCCCTGGTGAGACGGTGTCGTCACAGAGCATCCTCCTGTCCAGTTATGGTCTGCTAGAGGTGGACACCACAGAGGTTAGCATGACACACTGCAAGAACCCCTCCCATAGAATGTCCTCAGACCAGACAGCACCTGGGCAGGGGGCTTCTCCCATCTCCCATCCCAGGCTTGGTGCCCAGGGCAGAGGGGCAAAGCTGCCTGTGGTTGACCTGTCCACCACCATGAAGATGCTGTTACAGGCTGAATCACGTCCCTCACCTTCATAGTCTGAAGCCTCAGCCCTAGTATGGGACGTTACCCAGTGGGCAGCAATCCTGTAAGGGTGGGGTCTTCATAAGAGGAGGAACCTGGACACATAAAGGGACACCAGGTACAGTCGGAGGAAAGACCGTGGGAGGAAGTGAGAAGCTGGCACCTGCAGGCCAAGAGGGTCCTGTGATGAAACCCACCCTATGGCTCCTGGACCTTGGACCTCCAGCTTCTGTGTCCACCAGACAATAAATGTCCGCAGCCTGAGCCAATAGACACAGGTCCCCTCTCACGCCTCACCTTGGTGGAAGCCTCCAGGGTGGCAGTCATGGTGGTCCACACCTGTGAGTGAACAAACCTCTCCACAGGGATGTCCTGCAGCTATGGCAAGGCCAACCGCACCAGCCCCTCCTGCTGTCTTGGCTGAAAACCTCAGTGATTCTCAACTCTGGCTGCGAAAGAGAATCCTCTGAGGAGCTTGTCCATCATTATTTAACTGGTCTGGGCAGAGTCCAGGCAGGCACCAGCCTGTCATGAGGCCCCCAGGTGATTCCATAGGTGCCCAGGTGTGAACTCTTGCCCTAAGCCTCTGGACTTTCTTCCTCTTCCAGTCCAGGTGGGTCTCTCAGCTGAACTTCTGGGCCCAGTGCCTTGGCCTCTGTATGCATCTGCTTGGCTCTGGTGCCCAGGTGCCCACCAAGGGGCTTTTTCCTGCACCCACCAGGCTATGTCCTCCTCCATTCATTCCCCTTGGCAGCCACTGCTGCGTCTCCTTTAGGCCGAGGATGAGACCTACCTCCCAACACCCATGATCTGCCTCTTCTTTTCCTTTCTACCTGCATTCCTGCCTCTCCCAAAGCACTTGCTGCTGGCACATTCGGTAGTCACCACATGTCAACTGCAGGAGCCTTTGGGCCTCCACCTTGGTTCCCAGGGCTGCTCTGGCTGGGCACATGGGGAAGACTTGGGCAGACGCCCCAACTCTGTGAGACTTTCCTCAACCTCTCCTGCTCACCTCCGTGTCTCCATGGTGTGCTCGCTCTCTCTCTCTCTCCCTCCCTCCCTCCCTCTCTCTCTCTCTCTCTCAGTATATACTGTCAGACTAAGTAACAAAGAGCAATATCCAAAGACAATAGATTTATTCCTGAACAGGCATTGTGATGTGGAATACGAGTGCCATAGGAAATTATGGATGTGTTTAGGGAGATAAAGGGAAACAAGGGTTCCTACAGGTAAGATGCAGGGAGTTACCCAGGTTGCTTTCAAACAGCTTGGCTGGCTACACAGGTCAGTAACAGGGCAGTGTCAGTCCAAGATCGAACAGGCAGTTGCGGCACAGATGGCCTTGCAGGAAGTGTTTCTGGGCACGGATGTGGTTCTGGCAGAGCTTCTCGAGATAGTTCTTGCCATTAGGCTCACGTGTGTGAAATCCTCTCCTTCACAAACTCCCAGCTTTCTTTATCGATTGGTTGTTAGGGCTTGACACAAGCGGCCCCATTTTGATTCTGACAGTGTTCACAGCCCGTTTCTCATAGCTCCGGTGGAGGCTGGGAGAGCCAAGATCAAGGTGCTGGAGCGTGTGATGTGTGCTGCAGGCCGCGCTCTGTCTCCAAGGCGGTGCTGGGCAGAAAGGTGGAAGGCAGGCAAGCTGAAGAGAGGGATTCACTTCTCAAGGTTCTCATTCCATCCATGAGCTTAGAGTCCTCACTTCCCAATGGCCCAGCCTCTTCAACGCCATCACCTTGGGGTTTAAGTTCCGACTTCTGAGCGTTACAGGAACAGGTGTCTTCCCTATAGGGTAGCTATACACAAAAGTGCAGAGGTACATGCCTGCAGACATGTAAGTCACTTGTATAGACATATGTGTGATACGCACACATATGTAATACGGACTGTGGCACAGGGCAGCTGGGAACGTTGTTTTGTTTATCTTTATTTAGTCTTGTAGAATTTAGCCTCTGTGGGATGTAGAAACAAATCTTAGTTAAATATTTTTCAGATGAAAAGGTATAAAAATGTAAAATATAAGTATGTTGTGAGGAACATATAATTTTATATGACTATATAGTCATAGAAATAGGTTACCAAAGAGACATATTGATAAATGGATATATAAATGAATATACATAAATATATTTTTTCCAAGCTAAAAATCTTATTTTTCCCAAATAAGGAGGGGAAAGATTTGAAATGCTATCTATTTTAAACTAGATTTCAGTGTGTGTGTGTGTCTACTCCCAAAATCTCTATTTCTGTCCTATTTATATAATGTCCTTTCTTGTTCTAAAATCACAGTACTTTAATTATAGCATTATACTGAGTTTTGATATTCAAAAAGATAATTTCCTTCTCATTCATTGTGTTCTTGAAATTTCATTGCTATTCTTACCTATTTCTCTTTATCACATGAATTTTAGAATGAGCCAATTATATTACAATAAAAAGTCCAGCAGAAGTTTTGATTGGGATTGCATTGAATTTATGGATTGATTGGGTGAAAAAAAATCAATGTCTTTCTGATAACAACTATCCTGGAATATCCTGTCTCTCTAATTGGACCTTTAGGTTTTTCAGTTAGATGTTGCAGATTTCTTTGAAATGCATGGCACATATCTAGGTGGATCTGATTTTGTGTTTTATGGCTTTTGTTATTATGCATGGGGTACTTTCAGAAAAACCTTTTAGAGTAGTTTCAAAAGTTTATACAATTTGAGAGAAGAATACAAGGAAGCTGTGAGTGCCTGAAACCAAACTTCAAGAATAATTAATTTATGATCAATCTTGCTTTCTCTCTCCCCACCCAATCTGTCTCTCCCTGCCCAGTTATTTTTAAGCAACTCCTGGATTTCATTCATTTCCACCGCTGATTTTTCCATGATAGTTTCAGCCCTGATCACTTCCCTAACTTCTTTATTTTTTTTTTTGGTACCAGGAATCCAACTTGGGACCTTGCGCTTGCGAGGCAGGGGGCAGAACCACTGAGCTAAAGCCCCAGCTCACTTCCTTACTAATTTTAAGAACATGTAGTTTATTTACTTTGCTTTTACAGATTTCCTTTTACTCTCTCTCTCTAGACCACTACCTGATAACTAACACAAGGAAGTTAATACTTTTTATGCTTGGCTCAAAAATAATCACACTGCTTGCTGTCACGATTAGATCTCTCAGGTGGCTGTGTGGCCGAGGAGGTCACTGAAACCTCAGTGTCACGTGACATTGCCAGGCAGCTCTTCCCCACCCAGGGCAGCCCTTCACTCAAGTGTAGGTTTAGCATGGGCCGCACCAGCTTCTATGCTGTTTACCATTCCACAGACACTGCCCTTCTCAGCACTGGGAAATGGTATCCCAGGGCGGGACCAGCAGGCCCGGGGGGCTCAGTCCTCAAAGGCGGGGGCTCGGGCTCATTCTGACAGAGCAGCGGTGGCAGCTGAAATTGGGGGTAAGGTTCACCTGAGCACAAAAGTAAACACAGCCTGGCTAATAATTTATGCAGAGTTTCTGTCGTGCAGAGAACTCATTATTCTGCCTTAGAGCAGGAATGAAACATGCAAACGCAGACTCTTACACGTGACACACACCATGCTGCAGAGAGAGGCACTTCGTGTCCAACGCCTGGGAAGCTGTGGAAGGAGACAGAAACCCGAGCTTCAGCTGAGTTTCTAATACAGGAGGGCCAGGCCATTGTTTGTCTTGAGAGCTGGCCTTTGGTGACATCCTCCGGGGATGGGGCCGCAGAGGACAAAGGCCAGCTTTGGGGAGGGGCTCACCCAGCCCCAGTGTCCCCCGGAAGAGGTACACTGTGCTGTCGAACGCTGGTTTCAGATGCCAGGGTGTGGCCCTCTTAACTCCATCCCCTAGGGATAATCAGGGATGTGGCCCTTATGTCACACAAACCCCTCTTCCAAGTTTTTGACTGACATTTAGGGTTAGCGCATTCTCCTAGTTACTGGCTAAAGTTGACCTGTCCTCTCCACTCTGACACTGAGGCTGCGGCAAGTGCCTGAGAAGAGGCACAGTTCCGCTTTGTCCCCTTAGACAGGACAGCGGGTCCTCACTCGAAGTACAGACCCGGGAGCTCTTAGTTTAAGCATCGTCCCATCACTGATCACAGGGCATCCTTGTCTGGGCTCCCGTCCCGTGCCACCCCTCTAGTTCTTTCCTCTCTGGCTTTGGGGCGGCTTTCTTGGCTCTCTCATCCCAAGTGGCACTGGCTTGGTGACATCCCCAGGTTGGAAAGGTTTATCTCTTCTGAAGAGTAGTTGTCATTTAGTGAAAAGAGGTGTGAGTTCAAAGTCTCAAACTACGGGCTCAGAGCCTGCATGTATCACTTATTACTGGGGTCCCCATGGCGGAATCATTTCATATCCCTGAGTCTGCAGTGGAACGGGGCGGCATCAGTGCTGACTCGGATGGTGGAGTGGAGGCGTTCAGCAGGAAGTCCTGTGCACGCTCATCTCACTGGAGCTGCATCCGGTGGACACCCCAGAGGACGGTCCCAGCCCTTACACTCTCCTTCAGTTGGCACACGGCTGCCTTCCCACCCCTTTCCACTCCCCTCTCTCCTCTCCACCCCAACACTCTGTCTCTTGTTCACCTTCTGCTCTCCATTCCCCGCTCTCGAGGCAGAAGGGTTAAAGTCTGAAACTCTGCCAGAGACTCACAGCTTTCTGCCTTTGGCTCTAGGCAATACATTTATTTTCAGCGTTAATTACAAGCTTAACCTCAGTGTTAAAAATTAGAAAATGCAGAAATTAACATTGGCTACTTTAGGCAAATTTTCTCTCCTTCTCCTTGAAAGTATGAATTACTGCTCCTACCTTGTGGGTGAGATGAACTGAGTATAATAGCGCTGCTCTTGTTTGTTCCAATAGAATATTTCATACAGTAGAAGCCGGCTAAATTATGTGTTTTGAAAGTCCCTGAAGCTGCAATTCAAGAAATGTATAATTAAGCCCAGGCATTATCAAAGAGTAGAAAATATTTTTCTCTCAATTTTCCTTTAGCTTAAAAACTACTCAGGGTTTTTATTTATTTATTTATTTTTTGGTACCAGAGATCGAACTTGGGTCCTTGTGCTTGCGCAGCAGGCAGCAAAACCACTGAGCTAAATCCCCGGCCTGGTTTTGATTTTTTTGACAGCAGAAGTAATACATCAAAACTCTGGGGCCGGGGATTTAGCTCAGTGGTTCTGCTGCCTGGCTCCCAAGTGCAAGGTCCTGAGTTTGATCCTTAGTACCAAAAAAACCCCCAAAACTCTGTAACTCATATATACATACAATTACTATGTGTTAATCAAAAATTTTAAAATTGTTTAAGGAGATGGACATGTTAATTGCCCTGATTTGATCATTGCACTGTACATACACTCTACCCTAATGCAGTTGTACAGTTAAAATAGTAATTCACTTTTTTTAAAAGCCCAAGAACAAATATTAAATGCTAAACTCAAGGCAATGAGTATGGTCAGACTTTGGGCAGCAAGGACATTTTCTCACCCATCCCGTAGGGACAATACTGGAAGATAATCCCTTCTCCGAGGTGGCCCTCTGAGGCTGTGAGGTGCAACTTTTTCACTGTGCCTGGAAAGGGAGTGGATGTCTTTCGACCCCTCCCCTGAGGATGGGAAAACTACATCGGGCAGTGGCCTCACTGTTCCTCACTGCAGTGAGAACCGCCCCTCCTTCTTCAAGACTGTGTGCGACTCTGAAGGTGTCCACACAGGCTTCTGGTCTGTATCCCTGACCTCTCACTGCCTTTCTCTTTAAAGGACCCCTGGCATGGACTTAAGACCCTCCGTATCCCAGCGATCTCATCTTGAGACCCTTAAGCATATCAGCAAAGGCTCTTGTTCCAAACAGAGTCTCACTCATGGGTACCAGATGTTGGGACATGGACATACATTTTAGTAGCCACAGTTTAACAAGCTACAGGTGTATGAGGTGTGATCAAAACATACAGTGCATTTTTAAATAAAAATACTTATTATAGCACTTTTTCAAATGAGAAGGGGACAAAGAGTTGGGGGGGGAGGAGAATTAAGATGTGTTATGTACGTGTACCAACTCCCCGCAACAACTGTAATCATTGTGTACTGCAAATATGTATTAATGCAAAAAA